TTTTTGGCCTTGATCCTCGTTGTTATTGTCGAATATATTCGGCAGGATTCCAGTGGTCTGAGCTAATGTTCAGGTGGATGGTTGGGTGTATATTTGTTAGGGGAGGGGAAAGGAATGGTTGGCCTTCTGTGTGCAATCATTGTGGGGCCAGGAGATCATTAAGGAACACTACAGTAATCCAGAGAATAGGGCTGGGTCTTGGAATGTGACTGGACTGGGGTGTTTTATCAGGTCTGGTCCCAAGATGGGGAAAGTCTAGGTGAGTAGGATTTGGAATGAATTTAAACATCCCCTGATTGTGGATAGAAGTGACTAAGATCCATTCTTTTGCTTTTCTTTTCTGTATAGCTTAGCATTAGTTTCCCTAGAGGTCATCAACCCTAGTAATTTCTGGTCAGAAGCAGGCTTAAAGTCTCTTCTTTGCACATGAGTATAGACTTTTGACTTGGGCAAATGCACCTGTTTGTTCGGCCTTTACCAAAGCAGCCAGAATTTCTGTTCACATGCCCATTGGATACAAAATGGCATCTTGCAGCACTGGGAACATGGTTTGGTGCCAGATTTCCAGTCTCTTCCCTACCTTTAAGGCTTCCTTACAAGGATCTGCTAGTGACAAGGTCACAGATTCAGAAAGCTCGAGGAAATTGTGCTCTTGAGCTCATTGTTTCCTTCTATGTTTCATGTTACTCCTTTTTTACTTGCAGCAATTTTTGCAGATTGTCGAAAAATATTTAGAAGAAACTAAAGGAGGGAGATCACATGTATCTGAGCACCACTTTCTTAGAAAAGGGTTGTAAAAGGCTGAATCAAGGTGTCTCAATGTGTCTGTCCTTCAATCCCACCATTTCATCATTGTAACAGTACAATTTGCCACACAGCTATATCTTGGTGCTTCATTTTAATACGATTGCAACTTAGTAGAATTCTGGTAATGATTTAGTAATTTTCTACCATGGACTTGTGCCCAACAGCAAGTAGTATACAAACTGTCCAAGATCCTTGATAAATCAGCAATAAGGAGTAGAGACAGGGGAAAAGGAAAACTTTCAATCCATCAGTTCTGGCTGTATTAAAACTAAATTTCAGAGTTGAAAATGTTGTAACCAATTAGCCCATTCATTTAACCACCTCCATCCATATCTGTCTGTTCAATGTTACCATGGTATGAGAGCTTGCTTTGCATATGTAGATTCCTTGTTGTGTAATTAGGATGGTTTTTCTCTTCTGATTTGCATATAGCTGTCTGCACAGAGGGAGCTACCAGAAAGGAACTTATTGGAACAGAATGGCCACTACTAGCTGCCCTCTTACCTTGGGGATCTGTGAAGTGTCATAGGTCACAGCACACAAGGACATTCAGCTCATCAACTGCTGACAACTTTTGCAAGTGTGGTTTAGTTAGGCCAGGGAGGGAGACTTTTCCCTATGGTTCTGCAAATGTTTTCCCTTCAGGGGTTTAACCAGTTTCCTTTTCAAAGGCATGATTTTAATTTGTCCTTACGACACTCTTAGGCAGCGTCCTCCAGACCCCTAACCGTATACTAACCACAATTTGACCAGAAACCTTCAAACAGTATCTTACCTCATTCTAAGTACTGAATTTCATTAACTTGATTCCTCATAGGCTCCTTAACCCATAGCCTTTATAGCCCTGCACTTACCTTCCAGTTTGTCCATGACCTTACCACCTCCTTTTAATTTATTTATTGTCACATCTATTTATTACAATATGTGCAACACTTTTCACTCATGTCATCGCTCTCCAGCATCATCTTAAAACACAGAAATAAACCAGACCCGGTGTAAAGGTAGAAAAATAAAGAAATAAAGTTAAAAGTACAACATTGTAGTCCTTAAGGGCTTAGCCATAGGCCTGGATCTGGGCTCATCCACATCCACACTGAGGATGACATCAGCTTGAAGCAGTTGGCCAGCCTTGAGTCTCTTTCACCCACTGCTGCAGAACTGTTACCGTTCTTTGGCACCATCTTGCATCTTAGATTTAACCCAAGTGGAAAATGTTAACTCGATAGTTAATCAGGTGGCCTTTGTGCTCACTTTACTATTGGTCTGTTGAGCCTGGTTGACTTTTTTCACTTTTCTGAATCAGGCTAATGTAAGTACTATGAGAGAGGATGGGGTGAGTTTGGAATTTGTTGGTTAGGTTAATGTCACTGCCATACAGCATAGACTCCATCCATACAGCCAGATGGGAGTATGGGGTTGGGGGAAAATAATGTGGAGAGCTGCGTGCCGACAGTTCCCAATGTAGCCGTCCTGCTGGGGGATGTTTCCCAGTGGTGGGACTAGACCTGAATTGGTGATCCATTGAATGGAAGTGGGCAGGCAATTTTAAAACCAAAAAGACACTTGAAGAAAATTTTGGCTAGGCCGCCAATACATCGTCAGTGGTGAAGAATCCCTACATACCGAATGGGAGGATATCTATTCAGTGTCTCTGTCCAAGGAGATTGGAGCTGGAAGCCAACACTACCCCCCCCCCCCCCCCACCCCTGCCAAACAACGAAGCATATCATGGATGCTTATGAATGTTCCCATCCCCAACCGGCAACCAATAAAATACCTATCCTACAATCCATTAGATTGGCCAAGGCATTAAATGTAAACTCTTTGCCCTCCTCAATTTCCCTGCCCCTAGCCAAGCAACCCTAGAATCCAAGGCTGTGCCTATGCCAGGAGGAATCATCTGTGGCTCAATGGGAGTGCTGTTGGCTCTTGATTTCTGGAAGCTCCAAAATCCATTCCTGGGTCCTAAGGGTATCAAATTTTATTTCTTTCAACATTACAATGTAAGATCTGATGTTGAGATATCAGCTGTAGAGTATTATTTGGGAATTAATGATCTTCCCTGCTGTCTACCGTAAAACACCTGCCACTGAGACCAAAGATATTTGTTGCCAGATGGAAGTTAATTATTCCCTTTTATGGAAGGAGCTGCAACAGAAATATACAACTGCACAGTTGGATTTGAACATCGGTCCCTGTTTATTTGGAGCGTATTATAGGAATTAATGGATAAAAAGTCATCCGGTTCCTTCTAGTTCACTGCTAACGGTCTGGTATTGACATGATAATGGAACTGTTGACTAATCTTAGCAATCAATCTCTAAATTACTCTAAAACAGACCCAGACGTGGCATGAGGGAAACCTTTGTGGGTGCTATAGGTTCAAAGTCACTTGTTTCTTATCAATGCTCTACTGATCACATGTTATGCAGTAAATTACTCAATGTATTGCAAAATGTTGTTTTCTGAAGGAACAACATCAACTCAATTGTTTACTTGATTTTCTGATGGCCATTTAGTAGTTGCTGCAGTGCAGACCGAATTTGCACATTGAGACTTTGAAGTCAGGGAAGTTGAAGATTCCGATGGGCAATTCCCCTACACCTGGAGCCCTCAAAGTATGCATTTTAAATTGGAATTCCGAGGGTTCCACTGCAATTAAGTGAATAGTTACTGAGAAAAAGTTTGACAATTAAGTACCAAGTCTAACTTCTGGATGACTGTTACGCTGACCACACACCGCCTCCCCTAACCCCCCACACCCACCCCCCCCGCCTCCCCCGTCAAACAAAAACTTACTACACCCCCTCACAATTACATAAAGCCCAGACTCATTACACTCTCTCTGTCCCAACACCCCATACCCAAAACCTCCATACTCCCTTGCTTGACACAACACCACCTAGCATCCCATCCCTACCACAACTGCTGAGCAACCTATTCCCCAACCTACCCTGAACACTTAATCATTTGTCAGGTGCCCTAACCACTTGACACTCTAACCTCGCACACACTTGGCGTTTCACAGGAGCTATAAATGCAGCTGTTTATGCTGCTGGATATTTAAATCGCCGGAATGCTGCAACTACAGCAGTGCAAAATGGGATGTCATTTGCCTTCCCTTCACTCCGCCGCCGCCGCCCCCCCCCGCCAGCCCAACAACAATCCCTTTGTACAAGGATACAGTTCAATTGGTGGGACAATCTGTGTTTTTGCAAAATGTGTAATTGGAATCTCCTGCCAAAAATGTGGAGCTTATTTTTGGCACAGCAATAAAGGAGCAGAGTAGCAATCTGACTGCCCCACTCCTTAAATCTGGCCCATAGTTCCTACCCAGGAGTTGATATTGAGATACACCTGAGGTGGACGATAACAGAAGAAAGTGGATTGTCAACATTAAAAGGACTGTGTTGCCACCCCAACTTTAGAAAAGGCTGTCAGATGGTGGCCAACCTGTGCCCTGTGGGATTCCACCACCAGCATTTTTCATTGGGTAAAGCCTGTGTCTGGTTCTGTTCAGCATCTTCCCTGAGAGCAGAGCGGAGACCTATAGCATTATACATGTGGGAATCTGCGACAGTTAACAACTTTAATGTACAAAGCAGCCCATATCATCACATGGGCTGCATTAACTTATGCTGCCTTCATTGTCAACCTCAGGATATTAGAATTCCTCTGGCAGTATAGCTGCTATTGTGGTGTAGAATATTTAGTTGTCAGTTCCTGCCCGACAGTCTCTCAAAAAGCAACCAGGTAATCTGTTTTGGTGATGTTGGTTAATGGATAAGAAAGTTAGTTTTCCTTTGGCACAGACTCAATAGTCTGAATGGGCCTTTTTTAACTGTAAGCCTCTACGACCCTAAGAATTGGCCAAAACATTGGGTAAACTCCCCTTTGTTAAAATATTCCCACGGAATCCTTTACATCAAGGTACCTGAAAGTTAACACTTCCATCAGCGCAGCACTTGTTCTGTGATGTACTGGATTGTCAGCCTTGTTCCTCATGCTTTGAAATCGAGACTTGCAACACAATTTGAAACCAGACTCTTCGCCTCAGTCTTCCTTTCTGCCTTTAAATCTCTGGCCTTTAAACCCTATGACTGAACCAAAAATTCTGGATGACCAGCAAATATCTATCATTGCTTTAAAACCTCGACCAACATTTCATGAATTCATTGATTTTTGTTTCTCAGGTTTTAAAGAAACTGCCTTCCTATATGCCATCTCTTCTGCTGGATTGACCCATGCCCTTGCCAAGGCTTGCAGCGCTGGACGAATGGAGCGATGTACCTGTGATGAAGCTCCTGACTTGGAAAACCGGGAAGCTTGGCAGTGGGGAGGCTGTGGAGACAATCTCAAGTACAGCAACAAGTTTGTCAAAGAGTTTATGGGGCAAAAGAAATCCAACAAAGATTTACGAGCTCGCGTAGATCTGCACAACACCAACGTTGGTGTCAAGGTGAGTGATCATCAGTGACCAAGTTGATTTTACTTTTTGAAGGGTAATTGAATCAGTATTGTTTTGAAAGCAACACCATTAGTGTGCAATTTGTATCAGTTTGTAGTCTTCTTGCCTCTGAGTCACACTTGACTCCAGGGCTTGAGCACATCAGCCAGGCTAATATTTCATGCTTAAGGAAACAAATGATCCTGTTCCTGTTCCTATATTCCTTGACACATTTTCTAAGAATTTTTGTCTGCACATACAATGAAATAAGATAATTCCAGGGCTCCATCTGAAGCCAAAAAAGAACTGCTCCATGAAGGTGCACTTTCCAAGACTTGTTTAAGTATTTCTGATGTCTGTAGTATATACATGGTGAATGATGACCTTGTACAGGCAGCCTACTTCTGACAACACCTCACAGCCATAGGGTGCAAAAGAATGCCTATCCTAGCACTTCAAGGCTTTAAAATGAAACATCCCAACACAATTCACTGGGAATTTGTGAAGTGGGAAGTACTCCTCACCAGTCTAGCTGTAGCCAAATCAACTAAAGTTTCAGCTGTTCAAAAAGAACAACCACAACCAGCTTCTTATGGATGGGAAGTAAATGCCAGCCTTGCTAACGTCGGCCACATCTCAAACAACAATAATTGCTAAAATGAGTTACTTTAGAAACACATGAAAATAAATAAATGCTAGCAGCAACATTCCGCAAACAGTAATCAGGCAAATTTTGAAGAATCCATTTGCCCTTTGTTTGAGGGAGGAACATTGGCTGAGACATTAGTAGAACGTTCTTCTTTGGTGTCAAGCGATTTTAAGATCTATCTAATGCCTCACGCCGCACTTGAAAATGTTTAAAGCTTATCACTGCAACACTGAAGTGCCTGCCTGGTTCTGATTTGTGATTTGAATTGAAAATATTTTCACTCTGGAGGGAAGCCTTCTCCCAATTGACCCCCTTCCTACTTGTTTCTGATTTGATAATTATGACCCAATTCAGTCCAATTAAAGGGCACAATTGCCATAGCAGGACTTTTTTTTTATTGTGTCACACTCTAATGTGCCAGAGGAATTAGAAACTCTTGTTAACCATTACCTGAAGGGTGGTAAGTTACACACAGCTGTTTAGCAGTGATTTTGTGCGTAAGCAATGGGACTCTTTGTCCTTGAGTTGAGTTGCACCATCACATCAGACTGGGGGGAAAAAAATAAACTGCCAAATCCTTTCTAGGAAGGCTTTCTTAAAGCTAACTCCATCTTTAATCAGTGGGTGCATGGCCATTCCTGGATTTCGATATCACCGTCGGACTCTGCAACATGCAGCTGACTTTAATAAAACCCAAGAGTTGCCAAGCTATTTGCCTTTGTAGTAGAGAGAACCTAATACAGCTTTTAAGTTTGTTTTTGATGCTAATGTGGGGCTTGTAAAGAGACCAATCTAATGTAGAAATACATTCAGTTAGGCAGGGGGTGAAAAAAAGAGGGAATGCTCCCAGTTTGGGAACAAACTACTTGAAAGAATTCATACTAATGTTGTAGGTTCTTTTATTACAGCCCCAGCCTTCAGACATGCAGTTTCCATTCCATTCCACTTCATTCCTGTGTATTATGTAGACCACCTGTCTAAATTTCTGCAGCTTCTTGTGCTAGAAATCGTATAGTTCAATTTCACTCCTTCTTCCTCCCCTTTGTACCCAGGTCAGCAGTACTGACAGCAACAGATCAGATAGTGATACAGGACATGGTGGGGTCATGTGGTGGTGGTGACGAATTTGTGCAAAGGGTGGGTTTTCTCCCACTAATGTCTTCATGAAGAAGCTGAAGAGCTGTGGAAACACTAGGCCTACACAAAGGAAAATTCCTGGTCTAAACTAGTTTGCACTGTCCCATCATATCCTACTTTTTAAAAAAAAAGTCTCACCCAAACTATCCAATTGTATGCCCACCTCCCATGTTAACACAGTATGAAGCTGTGATTGTTGTTGCAGCCTAATGCATGAAATCTTTGTTCCAAGGTGGATCCAACCTTCCAAGCGTCAACATTGTATAGTCAGTGAAAGACATGTGGTTTAGACACTGTAGAGGATTGCTTGACAGCTGCCTAAAACATGCCTTGCCCCTACCTACCTCACTACTTATAAATACCACTAAGGGCCACAATGCTGTGGTGATAGGCCACCTGCAAAGATCTGCCCTCTTGTGTCAACAGCTCAATAGTAACAAGCAGCAAAGCAATTTCTTGCCATTGTCTCATCCAGCACATACAATGGGTACAGCACCTTTCATCCTACACCAATTTGGGTACAATCCAGCTTCTAACCCACCCCTCCTACTCTCAAGACTGAAACTAATTGAAAGATGCACCAATATGGATTACTACCAACCCACTAGACAGCTAATGGTGTGAATTGTAATCTGACACATAAAGGTTGATTAGCAAACAACTCCATTATTTGCAAAATCCTGCAACTACCAGGAGGTAAGAGGGAATATAGATGGCTGATGATCAGTGTTTCATCGAACAATTCCTGTTCCAATTTACATGTGTCATAGCACACTCCAGTGTGTAAATGGTGTGTATATATTTGAAAACCATGTCAACTACTCAATTGGGTTTCTTGGGTTGGGAGTTGGGCTTTTACATTCACCTGTTGCTTTTCCAGTTCCCTGTTGTGACAGAGCTTAAATGGTCTCTGGTCATGCCTGTTAAAATCCATTTGTCTTTGTGGCTTTGACAGTGACAGACCTGGTTAAACACAGTTGTCTTGGCAGCAGAATGAAAAGCTAGCAATATCAATAAAGGTGATTTATAAAATTAGCATATTATTTTAAAAACCCAACTGCCCCTTAACGTTTTAGGAAAGAAAAGCTGCCTCCTTGCCCTGTCCGGTTTACATCTAACTCCAGACCCAGCAGAATGTGATTTACTCAACTGCTTTCTGACATGAAATTGCAAGCCACTCAGATGACCAAAATCGCTGCTAAACTAATAATTTAACTGGGCAGACAACCTGACATCAAACTAGGCACCGGATACACAGCCTCATCAGACCTGTCAATCCCGAAATCTGGGGTGTCCAGCCAAAATTTGATAAACTGTTCATTTAGATTCTATTTTATTTAATCCAACTCCAACCTATGCATGTCACAAATGTTCCTGACTCCTCCTCCATCTGTAGAAATGTCCTGTCAGGAGGTATACAGCCAAGAGGGCATTGCCCTGGGAGTTCTCTATTACTGTGGGCCCAATGAAGCCTCATGACATTGGGGCAAACATGGACAAGGAGACTCCCCCCTCATTGACATCCACCACCCTGCTTCAATGAAAGAGTACATGTGGAACATCCTTTGGAAAAAGCACCATGGACGACAAGGGGAAAGTGTGCAATGTGTGAGGGCTTTCGGTTTTCATCATTACCATTATCAAACCATTTGACTTGGCCTTGAAAGACACGTCAGATTGGGTGAGAGAACCAATGTGGGGAGTGGGGGCCGGGTGGTGGATGTAATGTAGAAAACTCTCCATCCTTTTCTTGTTGGTCAGTGTACTGTCAATTGGTAGCTTGAGTCCTTATTTACCATCTGGATCCAAACTATCCTTTTGACTGAATGTAACATCAGAGGTCAGTGAGAACTGGGGTAAAGTCACCACTGACTGAAGGAAGATGGGTGTGGTTGCAGACACAATGGGCTGAATAGTCGTCTTCTGTGCCATAACACTTCTGTGATTTGTTGGAGTCAGTCATCTCTCTCTCTCTCTCTCCCAGGATATCTCTTCAGGAAAACCTCAGTGTCCTAGGTCCAATTTTTTTCAGATATTTCATCAATGATCTTGTCTCCAACACCCGATCTGAATTGGGGATGGTTGACTGTGTGCATTGTTCATTTGAAACTCCTCTGATAATGAAGCAGTCTTACCTGCATGAAAACCTGGAAAACTTTCAGACTTGGGCTGATACTTGACAAGTAACAACAGAATCTAAACACCTTTCCATCACACTGGCATTACTGAATTGCTTGTCATCAATATCTTGGTCATCACCATTAATCAAAAATGTGACTGAATCAGTCACATCATTGAGGCTACAAGAGTGTGTCAGAGGCTAGGAATTCTGCAGCACACAGGTCACTTCCTGACTCCTCAGCTTTTCCATTATCTACAAAGCACACTTCAGGACTGTGACACATTCTCCACTCTCTCCAAGACAAAACCACTTTTTGCCACCCAAGCTAACCCCTGAATAATTTACACCCTCCATCACTGGTGCTGTGGTGCGAACCAGCCACAAGATGAATTGCAGCCACTTGCCAAGGCTCTCTTCAACAGCACCTCTCAAACACAACATCTCTATGCCTAGAAGGACAAGGGCAGCAGCTGCATTGGCACAGTTCCCCAACATTTCTCACGCAACATGCTGATTTGGAAATATTTCACTGTTCCTTCTTTGCTGCTGTGTCAAAATCCTGGAACTCCATCCATAACAGCACGGAGTATGCTTTCACCACACAACCTGCAGGAAGTCCATTCACCATCCCCTTCGAGTTCAATTCAGGTTGCACAATAAATTCTAGCCTTGCTAGGGAAATTCACATCCTAGACATTAGTTTAAAAATACTGAGCATGCTACATGGTGTAACAATCATGTCCTTATTACACAGAATATCATAGATTATCCTGAGCAATACCCAGGAGATCCAGTGTGGAGGTGAGTCAGGGCAGGTAGATCGTGGGTGAAAGTAACCCATAGGACCAATGGACTGAATGGCCTATTCTCTTTACTGGGACATTCTTTGATCTCTGATACCTTTTTTTTAATGGGCAACAGTTCTAAAGCTGCTTTTTGGCTATTTTTCAAGAAGACTGGTTCTGATCTGTAGCTTTCTGTTATTCAAGAAATTTGTCTTGTGATGTTTACATTTTTTTTTAAATTTTTTTCCTTGAATTCCTTTCACATTTTAAAGAGCACATCTGATTCTAATAAAAGGTCAGACATGTAATTGTTTTCTTT